GTTTACGAGAATATTTTTGTGCAGCTCAGTTGAGACCTTTGATATGTTTGTGCTGTCCGGATTACACTGCAGGATGGAAAAATGTGGAAGGGGACACGGTCAAAACAATACCGATTAAAGCCATAATAGCTGACACAAAACTACAGAGCAAAATTAATTTGGCAGATGAACCTATATTACAAGTAATGATATCTGCATGGAACGAAGCAATTAGAATCTGTGGTTTAGAAAATGCCTCTAAACTTTTAAGATGGTGCGCTTATGATTCGGACTTCATCCCAAATCAACATGATGATAGATTCAAGAAGTGGATTTCAAAAGGCCTAACTAATTACTATTCTTTTGTTCATAAGGGGACGTTCCAATGTTTTGAGACCCTGAAAAAAAAACATGATTTATGTGCAGATGACTTTTTTAGATTTTTACAGATCAGAAATTATTTTAATAAAGAGCTAAAAGTACATTTGCATAATCTGAGATTTGTGGAAACGTTTATATTACTAACTAAATCAAAACCAGACAAAACTATTTCCAGGTTATATGACGCCATCCTGCGGTGTAAGAAGGACAGCACCATCTATATTAAAGTGAAGTGGGAAAAAGAAGCCAGCCTGACAATTTCAGAAGAAGATTGGGGCCACATCTGTAAGATACCATGGACAACAACAAGATTGAGGGTTTGGCGTGAATTCTGCTGGAAAAATATTATAAGATTTTTCATAACCCCAAAGCAGAAACGATACCAGGGAAGGGGTTTTACCTGCTGGAGATGCGGAAGGGATGGTGCCAATCATTTCCATATTTTCTGGGACTGCCAAACCATTCAACAATATTGGTCTCAAATCCATAACCATTTACAGAACATCTTCACTGCTAATTTTCCTTTAACTTTTGAATGCATATTTCTATGTAACATACCAGTGGACAATATGAACTACAACGACCAAAAACTTCTGTTCATTTTACTGGCCGGGAGCAAAAAGGCCCTCACAAGAAAATGGCTTAAACGGGAACCTCCAACAACTGACGACTGGATAAATGTAGTGAAAGAGATCTATGTACTAGAGAGACTGTCTTTTTCCATTAATGTGCAGAGAGACACTTTCTACAAGATATGGTCAAAGTGGACAGAATATGTCAAACC